AGGGAGCCCGATGCGGGACTCGATCCAGGGACTCCAGGATCATGACCTGAGCCGAAAGCAGTCGCTTAACCAACTGAGCCACCCAGGCGCCCTCTTCCTTTTTTTTTGAGAGAGAGAGAGAATCTCAAGCAGGCTCCATACCCAGGATGGAGCCCAACATGGGGCTTGATCCCACAACCCTGAGATCATGACCTGAGCCAAAATCAAGAAGAGTTGGACGCTTAACTGACTGAGCCACCCAGGTGCCCCCAAAAAGGCAACCTTTAAGATAGGGAATTTCCTGTATGAGAAATATGCATTCAGTCACTGGGTAAATTTAAGAGAAAACAAATGATTAGACATTTAAAAAAATATGTTATATGCATACACACACATAACAAAAACAACAACAAAATCACATGCCAAAGTCTAACTGAACCACTAGTGATTTAAGACAGAAAGGAAAGCAGGCATACAAATGTGGGAAACAGACCTAAACAATCCTTGACGTCGATACTTACCAGGGGGTGACCCATTCACAATTAGAAACCATAGCTTCCCTACAGTGTGGGGCAAAGTGGACTGACCTTTTTTGGCGAGGCTACTGTTGGGTTCATACTTCTCAATCAATACTTGGACTTGTTCTTGTTTTAAAGGTGGGTAAAGGATTTCATTTAGCCGGGGATCTCGCTGCTTAAGGTTGATAAAGTCCATCATCTGATCGACGGTAAGGTATGGTTTGCTTTTGGCACCACTAAAACCAATTAAAAACCAGAAATTAGAATATTTGTCCACCAAGTCTCATTCATATATTTGCATTTAACTATAGAGAAACAATATTGCCACACCTGGTAAGTGCATGCTAGATATCTGGACATTCCTATCTTATCCTGAAAACATGTGTTGCCCCATCACAGTTGCTGCATTCTATGGGATGCAAATATCTTTTGCAATCCCTGCCACTAAATCCCAATGCCCTTGAAGTATACCAGATGCATAAGAGAATCCACAGTAGGAAAACTTCGCATCTTGTGTGTAAAGAGGCACCACTCTCAATTGAACATAGACGTATAGGTTGTTTTTTGATTATGACACTAACCTTCTGGTTTAGTCATCAAATTCCCATATCCCACTTAATCATTTAGAGATGTATTTATTACTCATTACCAAAAAAAAAGTAAACAACCTGGGTACATTTTTCTTTTCATTAAAGTTATGCTTCAGCAAAAATCTGTAAGTCTTCAACATAGCGTGATCCAAGCTTCCCGTTTCAAGCCTGACAACCCAAAAACAAGTTCAATGGTACAATTACTGCTGATGCTCAATACATTGTTGATAGCAATGAGCATCACAAAGTGGGCATATCCAGTGTCATTCTTAGCACTGTTGGCCTGTCTTCCACATAAAAAATCCTTATTTTGTTGATATATTTTGGATTGATTTTTTGTCATCATGTAGATTTCAGTGAACTAGGAAAGGTGAATTGCTACTGCCCTGCATTTGCCCTGGTGTTTTGGTTTGTTTCTTTTCTTTTTCTCATTCTTTTTTTTTTTTTTTCCAAAGGAATGTCTATATATTTTCTAAAATAAAAGCAAATGACTTTCAGCTGGGAGGGTTCTTAGCAATCCAGAGTTTTCATTTCACTAATGCGTGTCCGAGACATAACCTGACTGGTCCCCTGGTCAGAGTTCTTCCTGCATCATGCATGAGTCTACCTCCATGGACCCAAGATGCTCTACTCTAGCCATAATCTTCAAACCACACAGAGCCCCCCGGGGATACGAAAACATCAACACCCAGCAACAAATCATAGCAAACATCCACTCATTAAAAGCAGTGGTTGAACCTCACGGGTAGGAATGTTGATTGTCTCCAACAAATGACACAGAAGCATTGTTGTCATTCACAGTGCCCAAAGAGTTCTGTCTCCCTTTATTGCTCAAAATCCTGCCAGAGCCACCCCGAGCACCCCTGCAAGCTGAAAAAGAGTGGGTTAAAATGCTGTGTTGTTCTCTTACAATTCGGAAAAGATGTTATCAATTTCAGGTCGAGGGCAAAGGTTGTTCAGGAAAACTCTGTACACTTCTGGAGTGAAATCTTCTTGAGGTATTGAATCGTTCTGGGAAATAAAGCAACAGGGTCAGTGAAATGTCTTTTTCTTTCCCTAGCTTACCCCCGCTCCTTTTCATGTCTCTCTCTCCCTTCCTCTTTCTCCAGGAGGTCAGGGTAAACATTCAGAAAACATCTATGAGGCCAGCTGTAGAGTTCATTTGGACACTGGCTTTGAGGAATCAAAAGCCGTACTTTCTGTTGCTTTTTCATTATCATTTAAGCTTAAGAGTTTTCTGCGTCTAAAGGGATGTTAAAGCGGTTTTTAAAGTATATTTACTAAGTAAGTTAGACCTAGCAAAACCAGGGTCTGTATAGCAGATTTCTTTTAGGTTGTTTTTTTCTTTTTTAGTTTTAATCTTTTTAAACAGTTGTTATAAAATACACATACCATAAAATTGACCATTTTAACCATTTTTCAGTGTACAGTGGCATGAAGAATTTTCACATTATTTATGTGCTATTTAGCAGATGTTTGAATGATTTTTTTAAAAGAGCAAAGGACCTGGAAATAGACATTTCAAAATGAAAACATAAATTCAAATTTTGTATCCTTTTTTTTCCCAAACGATGTTCCTTGTGGGTTAAGTAATCTGATAAATTGTAGAACAGTTTTTGTAAGTAGGACAGCACTAGTCATTATTTCTCACTGATTCCTCTTGGTCTTACTGTTTGGGAAGCAAGTCATTGATATAAAAAGTCATTTCTGTGACTTATTTTTCTGTTTAGTCGGGCTGCCATGGAAACCGGAAGCATGTATTCAAGCCTTTGTTAACAGGAAAGACATTCTTCATGCTGTTTTCCTATTTCAGGTATGTGTTTATATAATTATTTTTATTTTCAAGCCCTTAAACAAACAAAAAAAAAACCCTTCCTTTTACCATATGCATATGTTTTGAAAGGTACTTTTATAGAAATACCTAAAATTGTTCTCTGAAATTGTATCCTGCCTGCTAACAGATAAGAGAAATTAACTCACCACTTGGCAAACAGCAGGAGTCTCATATTTGTGGAATGAATGAATAAAATAATATTTCCTTTACTAAATCCATTTATAGAGCAGGAATAAAGTCTATTTTGCAAAACAGAATTTTGAGATAACCAAACAACACGTGTAGCACGATACATAGCAAGGTCCATTACCTAGCAGTGGTCCAATGTAGGATCGTTATACATGGGTCTTACTGAGCTTTTATTTTTTTCTCTCTTCTTGTGTTAGTTTAAAACCTCTTCTTCCTGAACTGGGTTTTGTCTTCCATTCTGGGCTACTGTTACATTTCACTGGTGTGGTATTTCAACACTAATTGTATTGTGCTCCCAGTTGTATGGTTCTGTCTCTTGCTAACACGCAGAACTACACAAACTAGGACCTGTGTGTTGCTTGTTAACTTCTAGATCTCCAGTGTGTAACATACAGTAAGTCCACAATAAATATTTACGAAATAAATAAATGTAATTTATGAGAAAGGTGGAAGTTGATAGGACAGAATTCCCATAGGATATCAGATTCAACTGAAGTCATTTATATAAGATTCCATATACATAATTTCATAGAACAGTATGCTTTCCTAAAACTCTGTTGGTTATTTACCAGCTGTGAATTAGGACTTCTTATTAAAGAGGAAAAATTAATAAGATAATCTAAATAAACACAATATTATTTTCATTGCCAGTTAGATGTTAGCACATAGAAAATAAACCACTTCAATACAGCTGATTTTCTTTGTCTCATTTTTCTTTGCCCAACTTGACTGATGAGGCTATCCTAAAGCCTCTGGGGTCAGTGTAGGAAAATAGGAGAAGAAATATTTTTGGAGACATGAGTTAAAATGAGCATCGTTGAAAGCTGAACTTAAAGGGTATAGGGGAGGTATTTGTGGAAAATCTATTGACAAGTCCTAATTCCTTACATCTTAAACAAGGCTGAAATTCACAAATCTCATTTAAATATTTTCATTTCCTGGATCTCATGATTTGGTGAAGTGGATGGAACAGATTCATTGTATCCTATCTGAGCAGGAGGAAACCCCCAATCCAACACTCTAAAGATCATACTCAATGTTCAAATACTCTTCTGTAATCCTTTCTGACCACACTAGCTAAAGATGGCACAGTCTTCTTTTGTGCTCAGAATCGGCATTTATATACTTTTATTATAACATCTATCACACAGTTCCCCCCATATTTTTTATATTTCTGATTTTCTACTAGACTGTGAGTTTTTGAGTGAAGTGACTATCTCTTCTTAAATTCCTTTGTGTCACAAACATGCTGCCAGGCATATAATAGTTACCCAATCAACGTCTGCTGGTGAACCCAGGACATGGGACCTGACCTAAGGTTTTTTGTCTTATAGTCTAAGACTTGGCTCACCACATCATGCTTCCAATACAAAACAGATCATCGGTGATTATTTGTTGCTATTGTTATCAGAAATTTTTGTAGGGACAATTAAGAAGGGTATTATAGTCTGAATTGGGCCCATTTATTCCAGAAACTGCAAAGTATTGGCAAACTTTAAAAATGAAGTTACTTCAATTCCATGCTTGGATACAAAGAATCCCAAAAGGGAAAAGATTCTTTTAAAATTTGATGGTTGTTCCGATGGCATTTGTACTTCCAGATTCCATAGACCTAGTTATGACATATCCACATGCTAAATTAAAAATAAGAAAGAGAAAAAAACCCCACATATATGCAAATGAAAAATACTCAGAGGAAAATAACTAAGATTTACTGAGCACTTACTGTGTGCCAGATATGTGGAGCTTTACTTACATGTTCTCATTTGATCCCTTGTCAACTTTATGTGGTTGTGACCCTTTTCAGATGCAAACACTAGGGACATGGCAGCTTATAAAACTTGTCGAAGGTCCCAAGTGTTTGTGTATGGAGCTGCTATGGCTTTGAATCTAGGTTGTTTGATTCCATTACTCACACATAATCCAACAAACTAAATGTTCACATCAACTTATTCTCAGTATTTTTGTTCTAAATCTGTAAGGCAAAATTGAGTTGGCCAGAGAGTACGTGAAATAATTACAAGTAAATTAGTCATAATACACCAAATTCTTAGTGTGGTTTAAAGATAGAATTTTGATATTAGTGATTTTAGGAGTCACAGTTACATAAATGATTGTATTTCTGATTTATATTCTGGGTGTATGGCATAGGAGAAAGGCAATATATTATAGTCATCCTGGGAGAAGTTTTTTTACATTTTATTTATTGTATTCCTCAGTAAAATTTGTGGTACTCTTTTTAAAAAATATTTTATTTATTTATTTATGTATTTGAGAGAGAGAGAGCATAAGCAGGGAGAGAGACAGAGGGGGAGAGAGAGAGAGAATCTCAAGCAGACTCTGTGCTGAGCGCAGGGCCCGATGGAGGGCTCGATCTCACGACCCTGAAATCATGACCTGAGCAGAAACCAAGAGTTGGGTGCTTAACCAACTGAGCCATCCAGGTGCCCTCTATGGTATTCTTTTTTTTTTTTTTTTTTAAAGATTTTGTTTATTTATTTGAGAGAGAGGCACAGTGAGAGAGGGAACACATGCAGGGGAAGAGGGAGAGGGAGAAGCGGACTTCCCGCTGAGCAGGGAGCCCGACGCAGGGCTCAATCCCAGGACCCCGGGACAATGATCTGAGCCGAAGACAGATGCTTAATGACTGAGCCACCCAGGCGCCCCTATGGTATTCTTTAAATCCAAAATAATCACTGTTTTCCTTGGTATTAAACATAAGTTCATAACTATAATAAACCTTATTATTTAAAGCAAATACACCTGACCCTTGAACAATGCAGAGGTTTGGGGGTGCCGAACCTCTGCCACACAGTCAAAAATCTATGTATAACTTTTGATTCCTCAAAAACTTTACTAATAGCCTACTGTTGATTGGGAGCCTTACTGATAACATCAGTAGTCGATTAACACAGATTTTGTATATTATATATATTCTATATGGTATTCTTAGAATAACATAGCCTAGAGAAAAGAAAATGTTATTAAGAAAATCATAAGGAAGAGAAAATACATTTACAATACTGTACTGTGTTTACTGAAAAAATCCATATATAAGTGGACCTGTGCGATTTAAAAATCTGTGTTGTTCTGGGGTCAACTGTCCATGGATTCATTCCTATCTTGTTCATTAAAGTGCCAGTGCTATGTAATACTATAACACAACTCCAAATGTCACTGAGCTATTTTCAAGTTAATAAGCCTGAAATCAAAGGCAATTTGGTACAAGTAAACTACTTTCAGTTCTCAGAAAATTTGTGGGTAAAATGGTAATTTTCTGAATATGGAAAGGTCTCCGAAGGTCTCCCTGGAAAATATGTTTGGATTATTAATAGAAGGACAGTAATTGCTTTTTCTCTCTTTTTAGATACAGTGCTACTTTTTAACAATTAAGGTAACTTTGGCAAGCAACTGTAATCTCTAAAGGAGTACCCTCTAAAGGAATGTGTTATTCCAGCAGATCGTGTTGGCCAGGATACAACTTCAAGTGCATTAATTATCCCTAACAATGTGCACAAAGATAATGTTTAAAAAATCTCAACAGGATATCCACTGTGTTTCTGGTAATGTATCTATTTACAGAACACAATTCAATCTAGTCTGAACGACCACTGGCTATGAAATGAGGCTCCCAGATATACAGCGCTATCTACCATTTATGTAACCTTTTCTTCTGTGTAGTGTTTAAAACACCTCTTGTCAGTGTATTCAGAATCTTTTTCCTAATTAGTGGATACTTTCTAGAACCTCTGTTCTGTAGATTTGAAATTACAACACGGATTTAAAATACAGGCAGTTTAGGGAAACATTTACTTCCTAGCCCTGAAATTATCTTTGGTTTTTAGATCTTTAGAAAGCATCCTAATTCTACAAATCGTCAGTCCTCCAAGTAAAGTATACTTTACTATGAATAATGATCTTTCAAGACTTCATGATGGAGGTTGATTCTGTTCTTTTAAAAATCTCCAATTTGTTTTCAGAAAATTATCATAACATCTAAATTACTAAAGATAATTTTTTTTTCAATTTAAACATAACTCCTGTTATTTGAATCTTATTTTCTTTTAATAATGTCTCCAGTTGATATTGGTCTGAAAGCATGAACCTGTAATAGACATAGTGGATTGTAAAAACTCAATTTATATTTATTGACTGAATTGTCAGAATCCAATTGTTTAGAAAATTGCCATTTACAGAGAATTGGTTGATGGATTTGATTTTCTAGTCAGCTTCATTTTCTATTCTTTCTTTCCCTTAGCTAGATTTATAATAGGTTAAAATTTTTGGTCATTATAGTCGTAAGATGTTATCCAGTAAAGGTAAAATCAGGAGGAATTGCAGAGGAAAAATATTCTTTTCATGTCTTTCTAAATTCATCTCTCAAGCTTTCTTTTTATGCTTAAATGCAGAGGTCTTTTTTGTTACTCAGACCAGTAAATTCTTTCCAGCCTCAGGGCTTTGCACACATTGTTTTCTTTTTCTGGAATGATCCTCTCTTATTCGCAATGGCAGCACTCTACTCCTTTTGCTCATGGCACCACTCCCCACCCCGCCCCCCATTTACACTTGTGTTGGTCCACATGTTTGAGGAGAGCCTGCAGAAACTCTGTGGTCCTTGAATCTTGGGACTATATTTTGTTCACTACCCCATTCTCAGTGCCTGAGTAAGAGCTCAAGAAATATTTGTTGAGCAAACAATGGGACCTTAACTGGCATATCTATCCTACCCCAGAGCATCTAAGAAAGAGCAATAATAAGTTTGGTCATTTTATTTTGCTTATGAAAGTGAAGGTTAAATTGTTTGGGGGAGCCTCTCTGTGGCTCTGTCCAGTGTTGGCAGCATCACCAGCCTTTTCTACCTATAACAGGAAACTCAGAGTGGGGGAGAACTCTTTCATTTCTTTCCGTTACCTACCAAAGTCCTTAATAAACTTCACTTTTCTGAAAAGTATTCACAACAAAAATGGGCTGACAAATTTAGTAATAGCACTCAATACTTTTTCATAAACTAATGATAAGTTTAGCAATGGCTTCTTAACTTCATTCAATGCAACTTGAACATTGCCAGAGTGTTCCAAGAGGCTCAAAGTTTCTCCCTATAGTATAAGTGTTATCCTTGGGAAAGAGCTTACTTGTTGCTTAGATACTAGGATAAAAATAATTTGCAATGGAGAGACGAGTTCTGCATATAGCCTGAGAAAAATGTTTTATACAACAGACTCCGATCTCCTAGAAATGACGGTAACAAATAATTTTAGAGCCAGTTATATAGAAATGCATTGAAATGAAGGCAAATTAATTTGTGTGGGCAACATACATGGGTGCCTCCAATGTGTTGGGCCTAAAAAAAAAGCATGATACGTGGTTTTCCTCTCATCCACTTTACCACAATATGAGCAAAGTAGGGGGTCTCCAAACTGAGCCTGCACTCCTCTCAGCAAAAACTTTGTGAGCACAGCCCTGCAGAGTATGTCAACATAGTTATGTCTAAACATGTGTTACCATATTAATTGCGTATTAACTTATACCTCTTAAAACTAGACATTTAAAAAGGATGGAATGTGATGAAATGGATATTTCAAATATCTTCCTAACCATAATCCATAATTATTAGCTAACATCTCCAGGGACATCAACAAAGGATTTGTTATTAAGGAGAAGTTTAAATTCTTAACAATAATACATTTTGGTCAATACCTTTTTATATTAGATGTTTCTTTTTAAAGATTTTTATTTTTATTTATTTATTTGAGAGAGAGAATGAGATAGAGAGAGCATGAGAGGGGGGAGGGGCAGAGGGAGAAGCAGACTCCCCGCTGAGCAGGGAGCCCGATGCGGGACTCGATCCCAGGACTCCAGGATCATGACCTGAGCCGAAGGCAGTCGCTTAACCAACTGAGCCACCCAGGCGCCCTATATTAGATGTTTCTTAAAAATCATTATTTACAAAGAACAAGGGTCTTTCTAGATCAACATATTGGGTTTATGGGAATGAAAGAAAATATAATTATGGTGGCCCCATACATTGTAAATATTAACAAGTGAGTCCTATGGTCTTCTTAATTTAAAAAAGTGTTTGGGTAATACGGGGGCAAGTTATATTTCAGTGTAATTATTCACAGCTATTTAGTAGTGCTAATTTTAGAAAAGCAACATGCTCACCCTTGAAGATGGAAGACTACAAGCCTCTAAAGCAGTTTCGACTCGCTTCCGGTCTGCTGAGAACAAGCGGTATATGCTGTGAAGTGAAATCACAACAGTGAGTTATGGATCATAGGTTTATAGATGATACCAACCGACAGTATCCCATTGAATCAAACCCTTTTGTCATTCAAGATATCCACTGTTCCATGCATCTGCATATAGGTTCTAAAAGATCTATGTATGTGCTTTTTAAAATGAAGATGTTTAATATAAAATCAACATCTTGAGGCAAAGGTGATGACCCAATTAAAAAACATTGTCCTAAATAGCCTCTAAGAGTAAGCACTAAAATACATCCTTGATAACTCGGTCTCCTTGCTGCTACCTATTGCTCTAAAGGTTTACATTATTGACATTATAAAGAAACAAGTAATTACTACTATTATTAATAATAATTTAACATTGCAATGAACAGGAGCCTACAAGTAGCTAGTAGGTCAAAGGGTAAAGATTAAGGATGCATTCTAAAAAAGAAAATTTATGTGTATCAGCTATACTTCAATAAAAAAGTGGTCAATTTATTGACAAATAGAGTTTAAGTATTATATTAAAAATAGAATTGAATATAAGAATTTGAATTTATGGGTTCTATCAAAACATGACAAAATCTAGCATCCAGAGCCCACCAGTCCCACAAGGATTATGGTAGAGTTGAATTGTCATTGTCTCCTCCAGATGGGGTTTCACTCCAGTTCTTCGGGCTCCTGGCTTGCTTCATCCCCTAAATTCCCTGACCGGTTTCTGTTGACATTTGAGTTTGCAGCCCCTCCTTCAAGGCTAGCATCATCTTGGTAGAAAGAGACACTGAAGTTGCCCAATTGCCATTCCTAGAACAGATCTGAATCTTAAAGGCCTTTTGGGTTTAACAGTAAGTTTCCCCCACCCCTTCCCCCCTCTTCCTGCTTTGTTGTTTCTTGAAAATGATGCCACAGTAAAATCTCTATGAGGAAACCAGCTGCATTGATGTGAACATGGGGCATGAGGGAGAACGGGGTTACCATGCGTTCTCAGGCTCCCACTTGGGCCAGTGGAGAAACAAAACAGAGCCATGGCACAGAGTCAAATCTTTGAGAAAAGAACATGAACACTGACTGGGAAATGCTCCCGTAGCTTACTTTTTGAGAGGAATGCGCCCTTCTGGAGTGACTTGCAGCTTAAGCTTAGTATAGCTGTTGGAGAAACAGAAAAGAAAGTGTTTAATATTTAAAAAGCTGTCTATTGAAGAATAAAATATATAGAAAAGTGTTCATGCGTATGCACCGGTTGCTGAATCTCAACAAACTGTCCAGGCCTCTGCAGTCGGCACTCGAATCAAGAAATAGAAGCTTCTCCCTTTAGCAGCATCCCAAAAGCCCCTCTCATGCCCCTTTCCAGAGCCAGGCCCACAAAGGGAACCATTATTCTGACTTCAAACAACCTACATTTCTTTTTGGCCGGTTTTGCACTTTATATAAATGGAATCACATCCTTTTGTGTCTGGCTTCTTTCATTCCATATTATGTTTTTGATATCCATCCTCATTTTTTGCTTATAGCTGTGGATCATTCACTCTCATTGCAAAGTATTTGACTGTGTCAATATAACTACTGCATTTCTCTCTTCGACTGCTTTTGGACATGTGGATAGAGAGACAGAGCAACAGAAATTTCAAACGCTGCTGATGGGTGTGTGGATTGGGATTACCACTTTAGGAAACTGCATATGACCCATCAATCCCCCATCTAGATGTAGAGGTAGCAGAAAGGCTTATAATGGATTCATCAAAAGGCATGTTCTAGAATGTCCATAGCAGCTATTCGTAGGGAGACACTTGTTGGAAAGGGACATTTGCAATCGATAATGATTAGCCAAAGAGAGGTTTACTGGCTATAACATGCAACGTTCCAGATAAGACGTCTTCTTTATCTCCGTGTCCCCTTCCACTAATATCACCTGGCACAATAGATGTTCTAGAAATGTCTGTTAGTTGAAGGATGGAGAGATCAGAGTCAGTAAAAAGAAAGAAGAAAGGAAGGGGGTAGGGAGAGGCATTAGAAGGGTCTTCAAGGTGACAAACTAAAGAGGAGATGATCACATGAAAAAAACATTTAAGTGAAGACCTATGGAATACTAACAGTAAAAGGAATTCACAGAAGAGTAATAAAGAAATGTAGGCTGGAGTCTTAGGTCTCGAATGATGGGTATGTCTTACAGAAGAAGAGGAAAAAGAGAAAGGTAATAAAATAGAGGACTAGTAATGTTTCCACTTGTGGTTTTGATTTCAAGGCTTCCCAACCTCCTGGCCATCCATAGCTTCCAAAGTGAATGCAGCCAGCTCTCCTTGCTTCTCGTCTGGCAAAAATCATTATTTTCCTTGGTCAAATTATTTTTAGAAAGACTGTGTAATTCCAGAGTGATTGGGTAATCCTGTTTTGCTTCTCAGTCCTTCTCGTTTTCACTCTGTGCCTCCCTCCACATCTTTTTCTCTTTTCTTCCTAACACTTTCTGTGATGGTCTAAGGGCAGGAATCAGGACATCAGCCTATTGATTTAGGCAGGCAGGGAAGTTATTATAGCATCTATCAGAGATCTAAGACTGGAGAGAAATGAGTACCGTATGTTCTTCTTTCCCTTTGTCAGATTAATAATTGATATGACACAGGCCTATGTAGAAGCAAAGGGCTCTCTGAAATTGATAATTTTTGGTTCTGAGCACAGCTGCCGGGATTTGGACATGTCTCCTTATAGTGTGTCAAAGACACTGACATTCAGAGGAGCTCAGCCTAACATGGATGTGCAGCTCAGAGGAAAAGAGCGATCTGTCTTGGAAGTTTTCCAATTCCAAACAGTGGAGGTATCAGTTCTCTAACAAATCCCAAAGGGAAGTTTATGTTTATCAATGTGCGAAGCCGGTGCAGCATAAACAAAAGACTCACAAAGGAGAAAGGAAACTGACTCAGAAGAAGCAACACCCTTAGTAATAAAATTAGAGCTACTTACGCTTTTTCCAGAAATGCGTCTCTTGACATGTTTTGGGCCAGCAGGTTTGTTGCCAAACTGAAAACCTCATTTGTCCATTCCTGAAAGATGTAAATCACACTTGCATTAGCTTAAATACTCTCCAGTCATTAGACACATGTTTTTAGCTAGGCTACCAGGAAGGGCAAATTTGTTCAATTTGTATGCCTAAGGGATTTTTTTGTCTTTCTTTTCTTTTTCTTTCTTTTTTCTCTTTCTTTTTTCTTTCTTTCTCTCTCTCTCTCTCCTTCCCTCTCTTCCTTTCTTCCTTCCTTCCCTCCCTCCCTCGATCTTTCTTTCTTTCTTTTGTAAAAATGACATAACTAAATTCAAGTCCCCGAGTTACTGCTCCTTTCTAAGGAAATGTTCTTTACACATAAACAAAATTTTGTCTGCTTTTAAAAATCCTTATTTATAGGGAACTGGCAGATTGCCTTTCAGTAAACAAGTATTTTTTACTACTTTCCTAGCATTATAAATAGATAAAGAGTTATAGAAAAGTTGAAAATATAGTCAAATGTATTTTCAGTACACCTGCAGATGTAATCTTCCTGCTTTACTACTCAAGCCAAAGCAGCTATACCAGGGAACCTTTAAATATTAATTACAGTTCTAGAAGTTCTTGAAACCATTTGCAGTCACAATGTGACACTCTCCCAATTCTGTCGGTCCCTCACTACTCCCCTAATCTTAATCCCTACCTCAAACCACTCACCAGTGATCTCACTTGGCTTCCAAGAAAATGGAAAAGAGCAAATCCACACAAAAAGTTGAAGTTCCATTTTGAGTGATGGTTTTGAACACAAAATTAATGTCTTGCCCCCCCCCTTCTTTAAGAGAAGACAAGAGAGCTAAGAAACCATGTTTTTTAATTCAACAGCTTTTCCATCTCATTGTATTATTTCTGCTGTTGTTTTGTTGGCCTTCTGTGTTTTGCCTCCTGACTTAAGGCACTGATAATATACCATCATGTAACACAGTGACATTTGAGGTAGGACGTGGGGTATAGAGTGCTGAAGGAGGGAAGAGGGAATTCTAAGCAAAGAAAACTGGGAGAAAAACCAGAGGTAAGCACATATAGTAGGACTCAGAGGGAATGGGGAGGAGTTTAATAGGAATTGGAAAAAAGAAGGTGAGTTGCAATGAGAAAAGTAGAGTTGGGGGCAGAGTATGGAGAGCATTTAAGTCTGTTGAGGTATCTGGAGATAATTTAGCAAGAAATGTGAAATTACTGAAGGCCCATTTTTGGGTGAGAGATGAGGAGAGCTGAGGCCAGATTGTGTGTAGGGAGATTATCTGGTGGCCATTTGGAGGATGGAGTTGAAGCTGAGAAACCAAAAAGAAGGAACTCAGTTAAGAAGCTGTCCCAGTTTAGGAGAGAATTTTGGGGGCCTTGACCTCTATACACTATTGGTGGAGGGCTTGGAAGATCACAGCACAGAGTAATTGTGAGTGAAGCAAAAGAACTGACCACCACACTTTATGTATGAGCACAGAAGCACTGGAATAACTTTTTAACAGCTTTAAAATAAATTTCCTCAAGTCTGATCATTTTAAACTAAGACTAACTACTAGCTCTGGTTTTTATAGTATGTTTCTGGTATAATAGTTTCTGAGCTAAGGGTCCAACTTTAGACATTCCTACCTCGATGGGAACTTTACCATTTTGTATGTTTACTGGGGGTCAATTCCACACCTGAAATAGGTACAGTGAGGGCATTATGAAGAGTTGGGGAAATTTAAGTTGGGTCTGACCTTTTAGGTCAAAAGGTAAGGTCTCTATTATACCCAGCCCAATAGAAATACCATGTGAGCTACATATATAATTTAAAAATTTCTAGTAGCCACATTAAAAAAGTAGAAGTAAACAGGTGAAACTAGCTTTAATATATATATTTTTAGCTAATATTTCATAAACATTACTAATCATGTACTCAACATAGAATTGAGATATTTTGTATTCTTTTTATGTGCCTAGTCTTTAAAGTGAGGTACGGGTTTTACACTTACAGCCCATCTCAGTTGGCATTGGCAACCTTCCAGGTACTCAGCCACAGGTAGCTGGTGCCTGTGGCTGCAGCATTTGGTCAGGTCTTCTAGATCCTTAGCTCTTTTTATGGGTCCTTTATCAAACCAGTTGAAGGACAGCATCATCACCACCTTTACCACATAGCCACAGTTAGCTCATTTAGCAAGTCAAGTGTAATTTATTTTCATCACATTCTCAGAATGTGAGCATCTAAATTTCCAAGTGTGGAATTCCTAGAATTCACTGGCTTCCTGCAGCCTTTTGAGATGTTCAAAAGATCTGACCCAGGCTACATCAAAGATTCAGGGACTAATGCAATGACCAAGGGAACTTTAGAAATCACCCTACTCTTGGTTGGGTACTGGTCTCAGTCTATATCACACTGAGCTAAAACAACATGTGTCTTACTTTGGTTTCCCCAGGAGCAGACCCTGAGACAAGGATTTATGAAGAAGGGTTTATTATGAAGGGTTTTCTGGCACCTTTATAGGGGACTGAGCAGGATTGGGGGTAGAAAGGTTGAAGGAAGAAGGAAGAAGGCAGATGGTAACTTTGGCTTTCTCCATCCTGATACAGACCACACATCAAAGTTGAGTTTTTGATGAAGAACAAGGGAGCTGGAGTGTGGTAATGCCTGTGCCTGTTATTCTTGGTTAAGGGCTAGTGGAGGGGATGGAATCCCCAGGCACTTCCTGGTTTCTTTGATAGTAGGCAAAGGGGGTTCCAGATCCAGAGGGAGCAGCCACCAAAGAGACAAGGGTCCTGGCTGTTGGAAGTGAAAGCATTGTGTATGAAAGTGGAAAAGGACTGGAAGGGACACAGGCAGAGCCCTCTAGAGTTTACTATAGCAGGATACCATATCTCAGGACTTTTGGGTACATTGTGCAACCAAAGCCTTGAGGGAATGGATTCCCATATGTTCTAGAGCAGTGCTTCTGAATCTTTCATGTACATAGAAACTGCTGGGGGCAGGAGGGGGTGGAGGGTCTTGCTGAAATGCAGATGATGATTCAGGAAGTCTGGAGAGGGGACAGAGAATGTGCATCCCAAGCGAAGTCTGCTGAACCATGCTAGGAGCAGCAAGGTTTTAGAGTAGACTTGCAGCACTGATGGAAAGTTTGGTAGAAATGAAGGACTTTAAGCTCCACACCAGATCTTTGGACTCAGAATCCACGTATTTTTTAAGAAACCTTTGTATTTTTTTTTTTTTTTTAATATTAATGTTTGTTTGAGCATGCTGCTGGGCCAGGAACAGCATTTTCAGTAGCAAGGTGTGCCAGGGCCTGGTTTAGGAAACATTATTCTAATCTTTGTCTGCTTGATCCCCAAGCAAATAAAGAACTTATTTTAGTTACAAAAGGTTCTCACAGCTGCATTAAGAACAACATGGCTAAAAAACTGTGGCCAGAGCTGCTTAAAGTAGCCTCGGCTCATCCAGAGATTATGGCATATGCTTTGAGGCAGGATAGACAGATCCCACCCTGGCAGGATTCTCATACATCCAATGCTCTGCCCTGATGAGTTTGGCACTGGAAGGACAGCTTCTTATTTCAATCTGGAGGGTTGGTTTTTCTACTTTGATAGACAAGATTCTGATGATTACCACTAAACTTGGCTCTGCTTCTATTTCAACCCTGAAGCTTCTTAAATGACATTTTCTGTTTTATGATCAATCTTTTTGCACACAGGGGATAACAGAGACCTGAATGAGAGAAAACATATCTGAAGGTCAACTTCCATGGAATTTCATCTGGAGTTTAAGGGCACATGTTTGTGCCTTAACATCTGCAAGACCGTTTGTGCAATTCCCTCACCACGCGGATGAGGGCACACTTACTGAGATGCCGGGCTTGACACCATTATAGATCCCAAATTTTCCTACCAGGTCGAAAAGTCAACGCACTTTTATTTCTTTTTTTTTTTTTTTTTAAAGATTTTATTTATTTATTTAAGAGAGAGAGAATGAGAGACAGAGAGCATGAGAGGAAGGAGGGTCAGAGGGAGAAGCAGACTCCCTGCCGAGCAGGGAGCCCGATGCGGGACTCGATCCCGGGACTCCAGGATCATGACCTGAGCCGAAGGCAGCCGCTTAACCAACTGAGCCACCCAGGCGCCCCAACGCACTTTTATTTCTAAAGCCCCTTCAGTTCCACCATTCTTGGCACAGGATTTATGTGTTTGCTTAATACCGCCAACAATTGTTTCACAATTGTCAATTACTCTCAGAGGTATTGTTTGAGTGTTTACTCTGCACTGACTTACGTCCTTTGCATCCGATCACTTAATTAGTTCTTACAACAATTCTCTAGGAGTTAGGTACTGTTATTAGCCTCATTTTACAGAGGAGGATTCCAAGTTTCAAAGCACTTATAAGATTTATTTATATTCTCAGAGCTGATAAAAGTCACAATTTGGGATTAAATCACTGGTTTCTTGGGCTCCAAACCCGGTACTCTCAGATACTGTGCACTCTGTCATTTTGTTGTAGAAAATTTTAGGGTGGCTAATACAGTTCAACAAGATAAAAAAGATAAGTAAATCCACTTCACTGTATTCTGTATAAAACATGGACTCAGCACTTACGAGGGGCTAGTCATTGTTCTAGGTATTTGGCAAATAATTAACTCGTTGAAACCTCACAACTACTCTACGAGATAAATTCTGTTATTAGCACCCCATTTGTATAAATGAGAAAGCTGAGGCACAGAGGCATTCACTAACTGGCATAGGGTCACACAGCTCATTATAGGCACACCTGAGATTTGAATCCAGGACGTTTGCTGCTGGGATCTATACACCTTACCGTTGTACTATGATGATGAAGCAAACTATGGAGTTTATGAAGTAAACACCTTAACAACATGTTGTAAGGATGACGTTAGAGGAGATAAAATGGAGAGGGGATGAGGTCAGTCACAAAATGTAAGTCTAAAGTCTTGGAACTTTGATAGAGGTAGGTCACAATTTCTATTCACACTCGCCTTAACCAATGTAAAGAGAGATTCAATCACAACATGTTCGACCCTTGCCCTA